GGCGCTGAGGGAGGGAGCACGCACAGGCTGGTTGCTTGAGGGGCTGGAGCGTGTTCAGTGGCGCTGAGGGAGGGAGCACGCACAGGCTGGTTGCTTGAGGGGCTGGAGCGTGTTCAGTGGCGCTGAGGGACGGAGCACGCACAGGCTGGTTGCTTGAGGGGCTGGAGCGTGTTCAGTGGCGCTGAGGGACGGAGCACGCACAGGCTGGTTGCTTGAGGGGCTGGAGCGTGTTCAGTTGCGCTGAGGGACGGAGCACGCACAGGCTGGTTGCTTGAGGGGCTGGAGCGTGCTCAGTTGCGCTGGGGGATGGGGCACGCACAGGTTGGTCGCTCTGAGGGATGGAACTCGCACAGGCTGGTTGCTTGAGGGGCTGGAGCATGTTCAGTCGCTCTGGGGGACGGAGCACGCACAGGCTGGTTGCATGAAAGGCTGGAGCATGCTTGGGGTAACTGGAATGTTTGGCGATTTTTAGCAGCTGAGTTCTAACAGATCTCTACTGAGCATGTGCAAACTTGACACTTTCCAAAGGCTCATACGTGGCCAGGTGTGAGCAGGGTTTCATAGAAAAAGCCAAAGGCACCTCCCTGAGGCCAGCACCCCCCACCCAGTCTCTGGCCTTTGCTCCTGAGCATGGGGTGCCAGAGGTCCTATGCGAGTATTATGGCTGGTTCGGAAACTGGGCGAAGCAGGTTGTTTTCTCACTCTCGTTTCTGGAAAGGGTTGAACGATTCCTGCTGGATTCAGCTGGAGGCAGGCAGATGGCAAGGAAAACCCCAGCCCGGAAACCTGCAGTTTGGCAAAGATACATGCAGCTGAAAACAGGATTCTATAATGAGAAGTGTTGGGCAACTAGCTATACAGGGAGCTGCCAGCCCCGCCCGTAACGAAACCCTGATGTCTTAAGTTCTCCCTGGCGCTGAGGGAGAAGAGTGCCGTAGACCTGCTTGCCGGGGTTTGGCCTCTCCAGGCAGTTCCTGTGTGGTGTGAAGGTCCCAAGGGCTCCTGCATTGACCCTCCTGTGAGGCAGGGCCATGCTTTTGTCCCCGTTACAGAGCTGAGGCAAGTGACCCTCTGTGACTGGCCCAAGGTCCCAGGGAGTCTGGGCACAGCTGGGATGAACTCAGCTCCGCGATGCCCAGCCCCTTGGCCCCAGACTGGTCCCTGTCTCTCTCGAGCAGTAACTCTTGGTGATTTATTCTCCCAGCTGCCACACCGGGCGCCCCGCTGGTGCGGAGACCAAGCCTGGGCGCGATCGAGCCAGCTGCTCCCCAGCCCCTGTGCAACAGAGTGGGCTCCAGGCAGGGACAGCAAGTGGAGAATGGCTTAGAACCGCGGCAGAGCACCGGGCACCTGCGGCAAGCAGAGAAGAACGCTGCCCCAGTGCCACGCCCAGCAGCTGGGAAGGTGACCGAGCTGTGCAGTGCTGGCCTAGGAGGGCACATGGGGACAGACGGAGTGCCACAGGGCAGAGCCACCATTCAAGAGGGCAGCAGTGTCTCAGATGCTCAGAATGGGGCTCCGTGTGAGCAGCAGACACCTGCTAGCCTTGTGCGGATGGAACACACCGGCTCCAAGGGTGGCAGAACCTGCAGCGCCCTGCCCAGGAGCGCCGGCTGTGTATCCCCGGGGCTGGACGGCCCCTTGCTCGGGGCCCTCCTGGAGACGTCCTTGGACTCCCCATGGGACAGAGAGGGCAGTGCAGACAGAATGCCAGAGGGTGGCATGGCCTGCGCGGGGGCACAGTCCCGCTGCCTGAGCTGCACAGTACTGCGGGCTGATCTGGACGCCACGCGGGAGGAGCTGAGAATCACCCAAGGTAGGTGCTGGCTCCCAGGGAGCCCGTGGGGCAAGGCTGCCATCAGGGGCTGCTCTGTCACAAGCCAGGGCCTGACAGCAGCAAACAGATCCCAGAGGGGCTCAGCAGCTGCAGGCCCATTGGGCCAGGGCAGGGGAGAGGCAGCATGTCTGGCAATCAGGCCCAGGTTGGCACTGTTGCCAAGGATGGGAGTGAGCTCCGTGCCAAAGGCCCAGCCCTGGGTCCCTGAGCTCAGGGATTTACTCCATGGGGGCACCACTGGGGCAGCCCATAGAGAGACAGAATCACAGCCCCAAGTTGGCACATGCACTAATGGAGTAACTCCATCAGGAGGCAGTGATAATGGGTGGTTATCCTAGTATTTGGGCGGGGCATGGTGAGCGCTCTGCTGGTTCTCATCAGCAGGCAGCAGTAGTGGGCTGTTATGCCAGGGGCTGATGGGACTGGGCTCTGTTCCCAGCCCCTGGGCAAGATCCATGCAGCATGTTTGTCCTGCAGCTTCCACCCTGTATGGACTGAGCGGCACCCACTTGCAGGGCCTGGCTGAGGCCCTGGGCACCATCTCGCGCATCCTGAACGACAGGAGGCCGACGATGACCAAACCCCCCTGGGGTGCAACCGAGAGCCCTGGCATGGCTTTACCCCAACAGACACACGTAAGTGCCTGGCCAGACTAACAGCTGCCCTGGTGCCCTGCCTGGCGGGAGCACGCTTGGGTACAAGGCTGCCAGGGGCCAGCTTGGCAGAAGGCACCGCAGTGAACAAATAGCTGTACTGGCTCTGACCTCAGTGCCTCAGCTCTCCCTCTGGGCTGCAGCACGGGCCAGTCTCCCCCCAGAGACACGCTCAGTGATGGGTGGATGCAGGGCTCTGAGCATGATGACCAGGGACACGCTCATTACCTGATCCCAGTGCCCAGCGGGGGGCTGATGGGCTGGGCTGGGAAACTTCTGTTCTCACTCTGTCCCTCCCTGCAGCTGTCCTGAAGCCCAAGTGCCTGGCGAGCAGCTGGCCGTGGCCCACCGCCGAGGAGCCCACACAAATGTTAAGCATCGGCAGCACCAGGGAGAAGGTGACAACCTCCCACTCGATCCCAGAGCCGCTAGCATCAAGCCCCGTACTTGCGGCAGCGCCTGCAGCAGGGAGGCCTTGGACAGGACCTGAGGGGTGCTGGGCCGGCTGCCTGGGGGTTTTTGGGAGCTGGATCCAGCCGGGCCCATGCTGAGCCAGGGCAGCTGGCGTCTCGTCACTGGACTTCCCAGGGAGCCTTTCCTACTCGACTAGCTTTTTGATACAATGTCCCCAAAGCCCCCTACTTTCCCCTTCACTTCTCAGGTTGGTCTCAATAAAGCAATGCGCAGAGCTCCAGGCCTGGGGACATGGCACCTGCAAATGGGAGGAAGCGTCTGTGTCAGGGACTCCCAAGCACACCATGGCTCATCCTGATCTCCTTGGGTACAGCAGGGCATGGTCTCAGCACCCAGCCTACCTTTCTGGGCACCCACTTGGTGAGGGAAGCCCCCAGCCAGAGTGCCCCACTGGCTGCTGCTGCGGGAGGGAGCCTGTCAGGGGAGTGTCCAGTTAGTTCAACCAGGAGAATGTTCAGGGGTGACTTGAGCCCTGTCTATATGTATCTACGTGGAGAACAACTCTACAGCAATGGGCTGTGCAGAGGGCCGAGAAACGTCCAACACCATCCTGGGGCTGGAAGTTGAAGCTGGACTAATTCAGCCTGGAAATAAGATCTCCGTTTCTAACGTGACAGCAAGGGACCAGTTTCCTGAGGGCCATGGTGGCTCCTCCATTACTGTTGATTGTAAATCAAGATGGGCTGTTCTAAATGCTCTGCTCTAGGGCTAATGTTGGGGCCATTCTGTGACCTGAGCTATGTAGGAGGTCACAATGATCCCTTCTGGCCTTGGCATTAATGCCCCAATGGTCGAGGGGCTGGGATTAAAGCAGATGACTGGGAGAAGGGGTCAGGGCCCTCTGCTGCTTCCCCTTCTCTCCCCGCCAGTTAACCATGCTCTGTGCAAATCCATCCCACACCAGCCACTCCGCTGGTGCTTGCTCAGACTATGCAAGTCGTAACAAGCCTGTCAAGTTAAGCATGGCCTACCAACATGTGTCGTTGTCTCTGTCGTGTTTTTCAAAGCAGAGAAGCAGGAGGCTCTGGTAGGGGGGAGGCTGGGAAATCCCTCCGGCAGCAAGCCGGGCGTTTTGGATGTTGCATTAGCGGGGAGGCTGGCAAATCCCTCCAGTGGCAGGGCAGATATTTTGGATACCCTGTTGGGTGGGAGGCTGGAAAATGCCTCCAGCAGCACAGCAGTGGTTTCTAGACAATCCATTACCTGGGAGGCTGGGAAATCCCTCCCCGGGCATAGCAGGCATTTGGGACGTTGTATTAGCAGGGGAGATGGGAAATCCCCCCAGAGGCACAGCAGGCATTTCAGAGGCCGTGTTCCAGCAGCACAGTGAGTGTTTTGGATGTCGCGTTAGTGGGGAGGCTGGGAAATCCCTCCAGTGGCATGGCGGGTGTTCTGGATGTCACTTCAGGTGAGAGGCTGGGAAATCCTGGGTGTATCGGATGCTGCATTAGCAGGGAGGCTGGCACAGCAGCCATTTAGAACATTGCACCCTGTGACTGGTCTGTGGTGGCAGGGGAGAATGCACCACATTTATTTCAGGGATGCCATTGGCTCCGTGTGCCAGAGGAGTATCACCCATGTGTGGGACAGTAGGGGAAAGGGACCCCTGGGGCTCTGCCAGAGGAACATCAGAGAGTTCCTTTGGTTCCAGCTCTCTCCAGCCCAGGTCACATCCCCCTTGCGGCTGCAGTGGGGAGTTCACCGACCCACGTGGGTCAGAGCAGGGAGGACACACCCACCTGGCTCCCCACCTGGCTCTCGGCCCCGCTGGTTGCACAGTGGGAGATCTCTTAGCCCGTGCTGGGGTTAACGCCAGATGTCGGCTGCCTCAGAGCCAGCGGCTCTCCAGCCGGCACCTTCCTTCCTGGGGCCTTTGCCTGGGTTAGGGTCTGCTGGAGGGAGCGTGCTGGCCCAGGACTCTGCCTCCTACTTGCCTGGCACTGGGTCCTTGGCTCTAGGTGCGTGGGGCAGAGTTTAGGACCAGTCATTACTATGGCAGCCTGGCCCAGTGAAGGCTTGCAGAGAGATGCTCATGTGGGCCTGTAGCACCCCTCTGGCCCACCTGGGCTTCACAGCCAGAGAATGCCCAGGCTGGATTGGCCACAGGGCTCAGATGAAGGGAGACATCCTAGTGCTCTGCTAACTGGTGGCTGCTAACTCCTCCTCCTCCCCCCCAGCCCCCCCGGACTCGAGGAGCTGGAGACGTGGCTGGTGAGGGAGAGTTTCTCCAATCCAGCGGCAGGGTAACGTCTGACCCTGACCCCGGGTGGGGTGGAACTGGGCAGGGCAGGGGAGCCCAGCCAAGTGGGGTGGTAGGCCTTGGTGTAGTGCAGGAGGGCCTAGCCAGGCATGGTGGGGCTGGTTCAGATAAGTGAAGGGCAGGAACTATTTTTCCACCCTCAGATAATACTTGGCTCCCCCCAACCCCCCACCGCTGCTCTGCTCCCAGAACATCTGGGGGCAACTGCAGCACATGGAGACAGGCATGGAGCCGTGGAACTGCTCAGTGTGGGTGCACCCTGGAGGAATTCCCCAGGGCTCCAAGCAGGCATATGAAGTCTGCACAGCTTCACTGCTTGGGACACTCCACCCAGCACAGACAGGTCCCTCCCTGACCCCCTGTAGTCCCCAGAAGGAGCCAAAGTGCCCCTGCGGCCCCTGGGGGGGGGGGGACGTGGCTCTGCGTACTGCACCTCTGTGCAAACACTGCCCCACAGCTCCCATTGGCTACAGCTCCCCATTCCCAGCCAATGGCAGCTGCGGGGGCAGTGCTTGCAGGCAGGAGCAGTGCATGGAGGGATACCCCTGCCCCACACTGGCCGGGGCAGGCAGGGAGCCTGTTTTAGCGACACCCCTGCTGGGCCACTGGAGATCGCAATTGACTGGGAGATCCTCTAGGATTGACCAGTCGATCACGATCAACTGATTGGTGACCACTGCTTTAGAGGTTCAGGCTTCTCCCATGAACAAATGAGCCAGGGAAGCAGCTTAGCAAAATAAAAAAACCTACTCTACTATTTACATTAGGAGGATAATTGATGCTGAATACTGCAGCTGACAATGTGATATAAACAAGTATCGCACAGATAAAATATTTCACTGCAATGTTTTCCACAGAAATTGAAATTAGAGGGTGTGTTCAAAAATACAGGGGGAGGGGGGAGGACTGATGAGGGGTAAGACTGTTAGGGCAAAGGTGGGCTGTATGGCACCATACTGAAAAATGTTTTACGACCATTTTATTAGATTTAACTGATGTTTTTAAATCATCACACAAATTAAAGTTGGCTGTCCAAGCCTACTATGAAGCACTATTTCTACATCCTTCTTGGTTTCTTGTTGTAATTTTGCACAACTCTGTTAATGAACTTCTTGAATGCAGTGCATTCATTTTTGGTGGCTTCTCATGTGTCGGGTACTTCCAGTCCTTCATGATATGATCAGGCAGAAGGAGACATCTTTCAGAACACAAAATTCTATTCAATGAGTAAAAAGAATGCTCAACTGTAGCTGTGACTGGGAGTAGAAAGAGATGAATTCCTACTTCTTTCATCCCCGGAAACATAACATAAAAATTGGGTCGAACCATTAGTGATGATGATGATTGATGATGAAGTTGAAATCAAATCTACATTCGTTCATGGGATGATATTCCAGTCTGTGTTCAAATTCTCTATTCTGTACTGGTCACATGGCAGCCCCATTGCTCACTCCAGTCATCTATTGGTGTTTTATAAGACAGGCATCTGTAAAAGCTACGTAGTGGCTGATGGAATCCAAAGGTAGTAGTTGTAGAGATGTAAGAATCAAGTCAGTGTACTTTACTTTTTCAGCTGGCTTAACAAACACTTCTTATCTTCTTGTAACCAGTTAATATAAGTGCCCTAATTAGTCAACTTCTGAACTGAAGTCTTTGCTTCTTCCAGGATGTCTTCAATGGATATTGCTCTGATTGATCCAAGTGTAGCTTCCAGTGCTGGACAGAGATCTACTACTATTGTAGCAGATGCCTGGATGGCATTGTATAATGACCCGAGTGATTTCAACAGTAGACTTACAAGAGAGAATGGCGATTGTGTTCTCTGAAGTTAATAGCAAAAGTAGTCCACCAGCCTCACTACTTAGATCCGTCCCATCTCAGTAGATACTTTCCAAAGCAAATAATAATGGTTGCAGTAATTTTAAGACAACAGCCAAGGATCACTCATGAGAAAGCCAGTGGATTTTCCCAGGTTGGACTAATTTGAACTTCTGTCCCAATGTAGCGGACAGGGGGCTGCAGACAGGGGAGTTTGAGAGGGAGAGCAAGAGATCCCGCTGCTGAACAGGCTACCACGTGAGAGTGAGAGTACTAGCTGTTGGTGTGAGTGAGTTTGCTCGTCTGTTTGAATTTTAATTGTGATTCTGATTTCAAGTGACTTCAGTTACAGCTGCTGTGGCAGTTGGGACTGAGTGCCTGACCTTGTTCCCTTGATTGCCTTTGATTGGCCTTCCCCAGTGTGACTCACGAGGGGGTGGGACTGACCTAGGCAAGCAGGCTTTAAAAGCCAGAGGCAGAGCGACCAGGGGGCTGTAGATAGGGGAGTTTGAGAGGGAGTTTGACAGAGGGAGGCCTGTGATGGTTAGGAAGACCTGCAACACCTGTGCCAGCACTGCTTCTGTCTCCTCCACCTGCGCCTGTAGCCAGACAGAGCGCTTGAGCATGGATGCTTCAATTCCAGATCCTGGTGTGGTTTTGCAGAGACTGTGATTTGCAATTCCCACTTACTGACATCCAGGCTGGGGGGACCATCCAATGTGAGAGGTGCCTGCTGGTGGAATCTCTCAGGCAGCAGGTGGGAGAGCTACAGGAGGAGGTGGCTAGGTTGAGGAGCATCCGAACCCATGAGCAATTCCTGGACAGTCTCCATGTGGAGACAGCTGAGGTAGCTGTCCCAGTACACAGGACTGCTGACACACCACTGGTGGAGGAGGAGATGGCTCAGGGTGGACACTGGCAGCTGGTTACTTCTGGCAGCAGGCAGAGCACCACCGCTGCCCTGAACCCTCCCAATGTGGTAATAGGTAACCGTTATGCTCTTCCTGATACAGGAGAGAAGGAATCACCCCCTACAGTAGAGGAGGAGAAGCCTCGTACCCCTAAGGCTGGAAGGTCTGCTGCCACCACTGCAAATAGGAAACGTAGGATAGTGGTGGTCGGAGACTCTCTTCTGAGGG